GCATTTGAGTGAATGAGTGCATGAACGCTGCAGGGGAAATACTGGCGCGTTCAGAATAAAAAAAAATACAAAAGTTTGTGCCAGCGCGCAAAGAAGATTGTGTTGAATTTAAGAGCGCGGCGCTCTCATATCAGAGCGCTTAACCGCCTCAGCTATACGATGAATTCGCCGCGCTCTTCTACTTGGGAAATGAACCCTGCGCTTAGCGTAAACGATATCATGATGAACAAAAGAGAACAACACTGGACACCAATACTTAAACACCATTTCCACCCAGCTATGGCGTATGCGCTCCAACGCCCTGCCCAACAGCGCGCGCGGCAATAGCGGCGGCATACAGCCATGTGCTAATATCGGCGTCGCCATTTCAGCGACGCGCTGGCTGACTTTACCGCGCGGCATAGTAGCAAATGTTGAAAATGCGACGGCCGCCACAAGCGTAGTAGAATCGTTAAAGAAATTATTATAAAGATTTATGTGCGAAAAAATTGAAATGCAAAGGTTGGTTTGGTTGCTGTTGCCACAGTTGTTATTCTTGAAAATGTTTGTACTAGTTGTTGGTGTTGTTAGTGCTGCTGCCAAGACTGTTATAGTAGCCTCCGTCGAAGTCTATTAATTTTTCCAAAAAATTTTTATTACATTTTTGTAATGTTGCGGGCAGCGGAGGCAGGCGTAATGGCTTGTGTAATGATTTCAGCTGGCATAGACACGCTCGCTCAGTCATTTAGGCGAACATTTGGTGACAGTCAGTCAAGCCAACTGCTACTACTTATTGTTGTGGAAAAATGAAAAATTCAAGCAGCTATGGAGCGAGTATTGGAATGTGTGCATGTATGAAAGTATGTGCCTGCATATAGCAGCAATTGTGGCAATAAAGCGGCGCGTCGCGTAGCGTCGGTGGCAACGCATCAAGTGTCACAATTTGTTGATTTTTTATGATTTTTATGTCGATTTTATGTGTGCGCGTTTGGCAACAGGAAACCGGCAACAAAAGAATTATGCACTAATAATACAATAAAATCATAAAAAATATATGTAGCAAATAGTATGTACGTACGTGTGCGTACGTATGCCCGCGCTGGGGTGGTAAAATATGTGGCGGACGCAATTACAAATTTTTATGTGTTTTCAGGTTTGTTGCACACAAACACACATGCGCGCACACATTTTTCATGGGAGGTTTACTAAGATTTCGCTTTTTCTTCCACTTTTAACTATACAAATACAAATGAACTGTGATTTTACGTTTATCTCGTTTATTTATTTTCTGACTTTTATTGTCCCAGCTTCTTATAGATATAGACTTTTTTTGTAGCTTAATTAAATGCTAGTGGGGATTACATACAAGCTGAGCGCAATTACTTTCAAAGCAAAGTTTTATGTGTTTTTAGAGGCGAAGGTGTTGGGTTTTTGGTTCGGAAATGTTTAATTGAATTATATTGATGGCAGCTTTGTGCTTTATAGCTGTTATGTGCTGGTATACATATAGATTAATATATGCATGCTTCATAGTTGTTTTAAATACCTAGCAAGAATATAATGGCTAAGCATATTTTCCAAAGGCTTATATGTATAAGAAAGCTGAAAATATGTAAGACGCTTAAAACAAAGCTAGAATAGGTATACTTCAAAGACTGGTAACTGGACTGTGTACAAAAAATGGTAAAAGTTCAAAAAAATTTTACCACAATTTCAAACTTTTTATTCCGAATTTTTAGAAAAATTCTCGGTTATATTACTAAAAATTTGCACCACAAACTTAAGACCACGAATATGTATTTTACCAAATTCCTTTTAAGCAATTGTCATGTTATTCGACTTGCCATGTCACTTAAATTCTTAAGAGCGCGAAACGTTCACACAGCAGATGCACTACGGTTTCAGGTTCTTCTTCGTCTCTGCAGCTCTCTAGAAGTCATTGAGGGGCATGCTCAGTCTCCTGCATGTCTCCCAAAAGCAATAAGATGTTCCTGTCAAAGTGCCATATTCCAATCCGCCCATGTGAGTTTTGCTGTATACTCGTAGCAGTTGTTCAAATCTATCTACTTACTTACTTACTTAGTCCTAGGTTAGCTTAGTCCCCGCTTCATTAAGAGCTGTTATCATTATAATGAGCTTACAGGTAGCGAGCGGCATGACAACTCCGTTCCAGAAATTCGAAAGTGGAGCGGACGTTACCATGACCCAGAGCTGCTGAGTCATCCACGGTTTTTACAGCCGCCTTATTTTCTTCTTAGTAGATGTACTTGTTTGTGGGAGTTCAAATACTTTTCGTACAGGTGCCACCTCTTAACAGATGATTGAATGATCGTGCATGCGAAATGAATTCTTCAGCCCCACCTGAACGATCTAACTGATTGACTAATATGTACATACATAATTTCTTCTATAATGGTGTAACCACGCTGTGTTCATTTCCAACCGGGTAGCTACTGCAGTCTTAAGCTCCACATATGCAGAGCCAATGCTTTGTGCGTAGTAAGAATTTCAGCAGTTTATAACTAAAACACAAATAAGCATATGGTTTTGTTAATTTTATAAAAATATTGTATATACAAAAACCACAACTATAAAAATTTATAAAAATTCAACAAATTTTCAACAAAATTTGCAATATCATCGCGATTTCTAAGCCATTGTACTTAAATTTAAATTTTTTCTCAATAACAAAATTTTTATGAAAAATTTAGCTTGGAAAGCATTATAATATTAAAAAAAAATAGCTTGTGAATGCTTGCTTGTTCACTGCATATAAAATGCTTGCAAAATAGTCTTTCAGTTTTATTCTGCGTTCATTATTTGCTACAATTAAATGAAATGTATTTAAAAAAATTTGCTACGGATGACGCAAAAGTAAATGAATAATTTTTAAAATGTAAATGCTAAGAAAATATTTTGTCATTTATTGCTTCGCAATGTGCAATAAAAATTCTAATTTTATACAAATTGCTAGTCAACAAATTGATTGAGAGTAATTTGAATCATAAAAGTTAGGTGCCAGTATGATTAATAAAATTTTACGACTTTTTGATGACTTCAAAATTTTTATTTCTAGTCATATATTAAACTAAAAAGCATAGAACTCAGCCAAATGCTGAAAGAATTATGCTTTCTTAGTTAAAACAATTTAATAAATTTTCCACGTGTTTTAAATCAGAAATATTGATGTTATATTTTTCATTTGGTATGCATATATATACTACCAAATTAAAAAAGTTTCAAAAGGTCGCAAATATTAAAAACGTTTAAAATTTTTCTGCAATTTTGTGTTTTAAAATTTAACATATTAGTAACTTTGAGAACTGTATGTTGTTTAGAATTTATTCTGCACACTAAAGTAATTAATTTTTTTCTTTCATAATGCAATATTTTGTAACCTACAAAGGTAACAAACAGTTCGATTAGCGTTTAAAAACCTGTTTGAAGATAAGCATATGTACTTATATTGGAAATAACTCAAGAGTATATAGAAAAATAGAAAAAATTATGCCTTCCGTCGGCAACCAGAATTTTTCATTTAAAGAAAAACTCGTCTCCATAATTGTAATTTGCCTCTAAATAAATACGAATCACATCTTTGCGGTGTACTTACATACTTCTTTGTAAAAATTTTATGCGGTCATTGACACGCCTGACTCGTTTATGTTCACGTCAGTAAAAAGTTTTAAAGTAGAGTCAAGTCTCACGCCTGCATGCATACACACACACACACACACACACAAATAAGTATATACAACGTCTCGCCTGTATTGTTGCTTTTCGTTCTAAATGTACTTATAAATAAACACCCCACAAAAATGTCCTTAAAACGCATTACGCCCGGAAAATTGGCCATTAAGACGCGCTGTGCCTGCTGGGTTGGGTTGTAGTATATGAGGTGGGTGAGGGTGCTCAGAGTAGAACTTAAAAAAACACCTAGGGTACTTAGTGGAAAAACAGCGAGTACATAGTACAGCACTTGCTTGCAAATTAAACAAAGGTGCGACTTTAACTTGAAAATTAAAAAAATAGAAACTTGGTACAAGAAATGCAAATCCCCACCACCGTCGCGACGCTGCTACTGCCGCCAGTCACCCGCACTTATTTATAGGGCAATGTGTGGAGGAAATTGGCGTGGTGTGAGGTGAAATTTTGCTGCCACATCTTCAATTTGATTTTCATTGCGTTATTTTCGTTTTTTTTTTCGGGTTTGCATTTTTAAAAAGACACTATGCGGGAAATTTGAAACTGATTTTTTTCTCGCCGCACACTATCAGCTTTACAGTGGGGTCTAAAAGAGCACACTGCATGTGCTGACTGCTATTGTTGATACTGGTATTATATAACGCTTTGAAATTTCCATTGTCTTTATGGCAATTGCAGCTAATAAAGTAAATTACTATTAGCGCTTCATTGCCTGGCATGGCTTTGTTTAGCTTTGTGCTTGCCTGCCTGC